ATGTGCGCACGCTGTTTCTTTAGAGACAGAAGATTTGGTAATGTCTGTGAGAGCTATGACAAGAGCTGGACATTACAGGGAGACACTTTGGGAGAGGCTAGGAATAGAAGTTTAATGAGCACTACCCTGCACGGCAAAGATAAGACTGGTAGAATCCTGAGGCATCTGTGGGGCTGCCTAATGACTGGGGTGGCAAGGAGTTGTCACTCAAGGGTTGTCTCAAAGCCCAGGCTGCAGGTCCAAAAATAACAGTGTAGACATTTGGGCTCAGGCTAGAGCCTAAACTCTGTGCTTCAGGCTACCTCATGAGGTCTCCGAGCCCAGGCTCCAACCTGAGCCCAAATGTCTACACTGCAATTTTTTAGCCCCACAAACTGTTGTCCAGAGAACTTGCATTAAGCCTAATCACCACCACAAACTCTATATGGGACTGCAGTGATGCAAAACCCTTGGGATGGGGAGCAGAAAGAAAGGAGTGTACTATACCTAGAGAGTGCAAAGACTGGTTCCTGCTTCAGTGCTCTTGTCATTCCAGAAGGAGCAAGAGGCAGAGGCCAAGCTGGAGTGGGCTGGCTGCAAAGTGGACTGCCCACTGCGCCCTATTAAACTGTGCAGCTATGAGTTCAGAGAAAGTGTCTCTCGGAGCTCCCTGCTGAGCCAATGCCTAATAAGCACCAAAGAGCCTTAAGTGAAATAAGCTTCATTTCTCCCTCCACTCATTCTAAAAGGTTACACTAACCTTTAGAAACTAGGTAGAGCGATTTTGGTTGTGCAAAAGATTAATTTATGTAAGGGTGGGGGAGGGGAAATCAAGAAAAATGTATATTGTGATCTTTATGAAGTGTAAAGATTAATGAAGTTATTCTTAGAATAGCTGTTGTTCCATGTGTGCTAAATGTCATTTAAAGTTCAATTCTATGGAATATAGAGCATTTCACTTCTAGGTTCAAATCTACCACATGTTGGTAGTGATCAAAATGCATTACCCTCTGCAATACCTTTGAGGGACTGTTATTAGCCTCTATCCAATTCCCACTAGGAAAACAGTCCATATCACATAGAACTTCCACCACAGCATTAATTTTCATCCTTTGCAAAAGGACTGAATGGAAATTATATTACCCTGTCTTTCCTGTGGATGTCCCCTTCCAGCCTGCCTAGTCAGAACTGAGGGCAGAATGCAAAGGGGAAGCTTGAACAGTCACTATTCACATAATCCTAATTCTTCCCCCACCTCCATCTGAAATCGGGGAAAGGTTGAACTGCTCTAGAGCAGCACCCTCAGAACCTGATTGGTGCCAAATAGAGAATTTGCTGGACCATGAGAGATCAATATTGTCTAGTGGCATTACGATCACTTCCACTGCTAACTGGGCTCATGGGACATTTAGGAGTAAATTAAAGCTAAATCACAGCACAGAACACAGAGCCAGGACTGGTGGCTGTAAACAAACTTTATGGGATGACAGGAAACTTGGCCACACCCATGATAAGTGGACATCTGGCTGACTAACATCAGTTAGGAAGATCTCTTGTGAAATCTCTGATTTATCCATTCCAATAAGCTTCTTTAGTGCACAAAGGAACATAGTCTCTTGAAGCGAGGGATTGTTCCTTTCTAAAAAGAGTAGCTTAGTTCAGAAAACATAAGTTGGAAAGTTTTTAAACATCTTATTGAATTTGAGGTAGCTGGGGTATCACACTTTTCCATCATATGTATTTGCCCAATGTCCAGAAAACAAACTTCCATACTGAAGGATGAAGACCTATTGCTGATGAAGCAAAGATATTGTTTTCAGTGTTTTGCATTCATACCCACATACTGAGTGATGGTGAGCACAGTATTAGACAAATCCATGGCCCTGCCTTCATCAACTGAAATTAGACTCTCAACCAAGGAAAAGAATCAATGATCCACAATCTCAACCAGCAACAAATCCACCATCTAGCTAACATCCAAATTAAGCAGATATGCCTTTTACTCTATCCTGAAGGTAGGTAAATACTGGCTCTCTCCAACCTTTAGAAAGAGTGCATTCCAAAGACAGAGGCTCTGAATTCAGAATGTCCATATATAAAGAAAAAGAAAAAGTAGAGCAGCATTTGTCTATGCAATCCCGCAGGGAGAGTCTGAATTTATTTGAGGACATAAAAGCATACAGTAAAGGGAACATGGAATGAATGGTAGTTTCCACAGGCACACCTGCCCTTTTCTCTACTTGGTAGCAAGTAGGAAGATGGTAGCAAGTTCCGTAATTGCCTGTTTATCTGGCGACAGGTGAAAAAAGACATTTGAAATGCATGGACCATCATCTAGTATAACCAAACATTCTTTTAGTTCACCATATTGCCATAAAATATTATATAAGGAGCCTTATTCATGACTCTTTTGTGTGTTATTAGCTACTGAGTTCTTATTAGCACACTGAGTTATGCTCATCTGCGGAAAACAGAATCTAAAGCTAAGATGTGCAACAAGCTTCTTAGCAAACCGACAGGTTCACCACAGGGTGCTCACACCCAACCCTGTGAGCATCAGCTCTTCCCAGCTCTTATGCGGCGGTGGAGGACTGTGTACCAATATAGAGTCAATTGTTACCCACCAAACTGGATGCATAGCTACATGCCACCACGTGGATACATAGCTACATGCCACCACGTGCATCTTCTCCAGCACTCTGCATCCAACTCCACTCCTATGGCTACAAGTTCTGAACTACATTGATCCTCTTTCTATCAGACAACTGGTTGCTACTGACAAATTACTTTTTTCCAGTATGTGCCAACCCAAATCTGTTGCTGCCCAGCTACATGTTGTCTTCATGCCACCCATAATGGACTCATCTGCTATGCCAGGATGTTAGGGCAGAAACACCCAGGCAACAGCAATGAATATCGGTTACAATTCCTTGTCACTGATTCCACAATCTGTTTATGACCAGTCGCATCATCAGTGGCCCTTGTAGAACATATTCCAGACTGGGCAAGGTTTCTGAGCAGCCAACCAATACCACTGGGGCCTTTGTGACAGTCTTGTGTAGCTGTGGCATAACACAGAAGCATTCTGTCAATGAATGCCCACTTTCAGCGGTGGTGTGGAAAAACTGCATCACGCTATTGAAGATTCCATTGCTTGGCTCGATAGCTAGGCACATGCTAAATAAACAAACAAACAACAGCTACTAAATTATATTAGTGATTTGGACCAACTTAAAAGCACCTGACTGGAATTATTTGAAGAGAATCACACTTGGAAGCATCTAAGGTATTTCTGACATTTTTCTTTTTAACATGCTTGTACAGACACATGCAATATCCTAATGTTTAGAAACTCCAAAATCCTTTACATAGCAGAAATGAGTGGGAAATATTTTCTTTTTTCACCTTAAAGCCCTCAACTTACAGTAGATTAAGGAACAAATCAGAAGACCAGTCAAAGGCAGGTACAAATGGACAAAACAAGAGGGCAGCATTATCACCACTCCCGTTGGAGATTGCTAAGTGAGGGGACCAGTTTTAATCTCCACACTAGCTTTATGAGAGTGTCCACTGAGGGAAGCACAGAATCAACACACTTGCTAGTCACACTGGCTACATCCCACTCCTGAGCCAGCTACTTCCTGATTTTTTATCATTGCTGTCCTTTTAGCCCTCTCTATCCCAGCAAAACTGCAGTCACTTTTTAGTGCCATTATTTGTTGCAGAAGACCTCTACAGGCAGTCCCCGGGTTACGTACAAGATAGGGACTGTAGGTTTGTTCTTAAGTTGAATTTGTATGTAAGTCGGAACTGGTACATATTGTAGGGGAAACTCTAGCCAAACATTTCTCCAGAGCTCAGTTTTATTCTCCCACACCTCACTTCCCTCAGGCCTTTATTCTCAAGCTGAGGTGTCTGCTGAGAAAAGCCGCTCCGCGTCTCCCTAGTCTGCTCGGGGGGGGAGGGGCGCTAGCTTCGCGTCTCCCTGGTCTGCTGGGGGGAAGCAGCTAGTGCGGGGTTGCCTCACCCCGTTTGTAAGTAGGGATCTGATGTAAGTCGGATCCATGTAACCCGGGGACTGCCTGTACTGGGGTTTAAACTGGAACAAACCTGGAGTGAATCTGGATTGCATTTGATTTGTATTAAATGTTGCATCCAGATGCATTTTGGAGTGAATGAGGAAACATGTTGAATTCTGTATCTAAGGTGTCCGAGTTACTTTCTCGGATGTTTTCCTTTCAGTTGTAATTGCTTCCTTGACAAAAAATAATACCTCTAAATTCTTATGCATGCTTATGAGAAATTAAGAAACATAGGCTAGGAGTAGGTCAAATTCAGCTATACCAGAAGGGGAGCAACTCCTATTGAACTGACTGGAAGTTGCACTTAACTATAGCAGGGAAGAAACTGGCTGACTGTTTTCCTTATATTACACAAACATGGCCCAAATGTATCAATGAGTAATTCTTCTGATGTGCTATTTAGAATTGAAGATGCTGCTTAAATGACTAAAATCAAACCAGATAATTAAGGCAAACCTGATTACTTTAGTCCAAGTTCCATTGTGGAAATAAATAGGTGCCAGAAAGGTGGTTTAGCAAGCTTTCTCTTATTTCTCTCTTTAGAACACCATTTAAATGTTCAATTGTTTTCTAAGCTAACTATTTGTATACCTAATATCTTTATCTGACTCAACTTTCCTAGTAATGAGAATTGTTTTGGATCAAATCTATTATCCTTTCATGAAAGTTTGTGTGCTGTTATCTCTTAATTCCAGATGAAAATAAGTCCTCTGCCTGCAGCCAATTACAATGCAGAGTTACTGTACCAAGTTATCAATTA